TAATCAATACAATTATTATAACCGAAACAATGTAGCGTGTTCAGCGAAAAAAATGGCAATTTAGTGTCGACTTTCATGACACGAAAACAACACACTCGTTTCCAGAATATAAGTATCTGCTGCACTGAATTAAAATTTTGACTATTATTTTAACTAGACAGATAATACAAATTTGTTGAATTCGGAGAGGAATCGTTTATCAATATACAACTATTATAACCGAAACAATGTAGCTAGCGTGTTAAGCGAAAAAAAATATGGTATTTTGAGTAAACTTTCATGACATGAAAACAACACGCTCAGTTTCCAGACTAACTCAAGAAGTATCTGCTGCACTGAATTGAAATTTCGAAAATTAATTGAACTAGAAAGAAAACGCAAATCTGTTGAATTTGAAGAGGAATCATTTATCAATACAATTATTATAATCGAAACAATGTAGCGTGTTAAACACGATAAATAAATTGCATGGCGAAATAGAGTCAACTTACATTGAACAAAACCAGCAAACTCGTTGTGGAGACGATATCGTATGTAACATTTAATGTACATGTAATAAAAGAAAAGTGTGATAAAGTAATAGTGTCATTGGTCGTCAAACAATAAAATAATTTAACCAAAACAATGTAGCGTGTTAAGCGTGAAATATACACAACAAATTTGAAGATTTGGACAAATTGACTGATCTATTGAGAAAAAAAAGTCATTTTGAACCGCTCTCCCCCAAATTTTCGATGCAATGTTCGGTTGAGAAGCACATGGGAAGCACAATAAGAATGTATTTAAAGGTTCTCTAAGCATCTTCTTTCCTGCAAGTTTTAAGCAATTTCGTTTTTGTTTTTGCCAAAATCGAAAAAAAAATCAAGGAGCCAGCTTTAGGCCTACAGTAATATTTAAATGTTAACAAAAAAAAAAAAACGCTGACTTTTCTCTAAATGGCAAGTATGTACACCTGATAAATACAGGAATCACAACAGTGTTCATATTCGTTTGCCTCAGTACTCTGGGCAATTATTCCAGATGATACATATATTCTGATACATGTGTATTGAAACGTTTTACACAACATACACAGATGTAAAACAGTATACACAGTTAACAAAAAAAAAAAAACGCTGACTTTTCTCTAAATGGCAAGTATGTACACCTGATAAATACAGGAATCACAACAGTGTTCATATTCGTTTGCCTCAGTACTCTGGGCAATTATTCCAGATGATACATATATTCTGATACATGTGTATTGAAACGTTTTACACAACATACACAGATGTAAAACAGTATACACTCGTGTTCAATCTAAGATCAAATCTGATTCTTTTCGTTTGAATATAAAAGGTAAAACAATCATATACATGTAAATTCACATCAGCTGTTGTGTACATACAATGTACATAACGTACAGGGATTTCGGGAATACACTGTCATTTTGAAGCTTACCTTGGGCAAAATAAACAAAACTGTCTGGCAATTTAAAACGATGAAATTATGTTTGAAAAATAGAGCTCTTACACTTATTTCTATAACTACAGGTACTCATTTACTGCAAGTTGGGTTGCAAAGTGAATATTATTTTAAAATAGGGACTTCTGTTGCTCGCTGTGCACAAGCCTTGCAAAGAATGACCACGGTTGCATTGGCGAGCTCATGCTGGCATTTGATTGGCCAGCAGCAGGAGAGGCTGAGCTCTGATTGGGCAGCATATCCACCTCATCAGACTGCGAGGACTGGTACCATGCCTCATCCTCACAGCAACTGTACAACAGATAGGTGGACTCTGGGGACCTTACCTCTGGGAACTGACTAAATTCAAATCCTTGACGTTGGGATTGGTTTATCATGTTGACATGTTCATAGCCTGGTTTCCGTTGCCGGTGGTAATTCCGGTGGTAATCATGTTCCCCGTGTTGTAGGTGGGCATAAGAGTGCAGGACAAGTCAAGGGGTACAGACTCTTTGCCGACTTCAAAAGCAATGGCCGATGTTGTCCACTACTGGCTCGGAATCACTGACTGTTATTCCACGCAACGCATCAATTCCACTGCTGCTTTTTCGTGGTTGTTTGGAAGATTTTCATTTCCGTAACGAGTTTAGAGCATGGGGCTGGGTCAAACAATCTTGAGAGTCACCGTCACATTTGTTATTACTGTTGTTGTTGTTTACAATCGCCAGGTTGGATATTGCAGCACATGATTCATAGCCCCGTCGACTTTGAATGTTGGGCTGGGTTTGTGTCGACTGGCGGTTGAGTTGTTCTTGTGCTTTTTACTTTTCTCAGCATCCTGCATGTGACGTAGCTTCTTCATGTTAATCACCGCTCCTCTAGATCCATGCCCTGCCCTCCCCTTTCTGTGTTTCTGTCTCGTCTTACATTTAGCCGGAGGCATGCTTGTTGTAGTCGCTGAGCCTGTAGCAACTCCAGCTGCAGGCGTAGATGCTGAAGCAAGATGCGTTTCTGGATGTCCATAGGAGACTTCATAGCTCCTGAAGAATTGACGACACCTGCAGTCAGTGAAGACTGAAGGAGGGATGGTGGAACCTAGACAGAAATAAAAAACAAATTTATAAAAGTTAAATAAAACAGGTTTTTTCAATTGGCTTGAGAAAAATTTTGAGGCGCAGGGCAGCTTGGGAAGAACAGGCAGGGCTGTTTCAAGGAAGTAACAGGCAGGGCTATTTCAAGGGAGTAACAGGCAGGGCTATTTCAAGGGAGTAACAGGCAGGGCTGTTTCAAGGGAGTAACAGGCAGGTTGGTCCGCGGTGGTACCGGTACAGGGATTAACAGGCAGGGTGGTTTGGGGCAGTACAGGGATTAACAGGCAGGGTGGTTTGGGGCAGTACAGGGAGTAACAGGCAGGGTGGTTTGGGGCAGTACAGCAATTAACAGGCAGGCTGGTTTGGGGCAGTACAGGGAGTAACAGGCAGGGTGGTTTGGGATAGTACAGGGAGCAACAGGCAGGGTAGTTTGGGGCAGTACAGGGAGTAACAGGCAGGGTAGTTTGGGGCAGTACAGGGAGTAACAGGCAGGGTAGTTTGGGGCAGTACAGGGAGTAACAGGCAGGGTAGTTTGGGGCAGTACAGGGAGTAAAGCGAATGCAAAGCAAATTTGACATCATGAAACATTCGCTGCGAAATTTGCCCCGGTCGAATTCGCAGCACGAAAACTTGCCATGACGTCAAAGATTTGCAATCGCTTTCGCATGAAGTATGAACTGGGCTTAAAAGGCAGGGCAGTTTGGAGCAGTACAGAGAGTAACAAGCAGGGTGGTTTGGGGCAGTACATGGGAGTAACAGGCAGGGCAGTTTGGGGTAGTACAGGGAGTAACAGGCAAGGCGGTTTAGGGCGGTACAGCTTTGGGTTATTAACCAAATGCTTACTTGGTCATACATCCTGCGGCTCATATCAAACTCAGTCAATTGATTTCCACCGACCAATGGCTGAACGGCAGGCGACGTCACAGTCATGACACAAACCGGTGGGTTGAGTAACAACTGACAATCTATGGAGTGATAGGACACCAGCTTGCCGGATACCAGTTACAGGCGCTGCTGTTGTCGGGTTGTTCTGGTGAGCAGACAATCTGAGGAAGGTGCAGTGTTGTAGTAACTGTGCCATGCCTAGCATCACGGTGTTGTTGCAAGTGATGAGGAATTTGTTGTTGCGAGCTTGTCTAGAATAAAAACAATTTGAAATGTGCTAACCTGTTATTAGTTGTGATGCAAGGTCCCTAAAGAAAAAGGCCTGCCAAATCTTTTGAGCGACATTCTGCTGGTAGATTTCACCAAAAAAAGAAAGAAAAGGAATCCCATTGAAGCTCCTGTAAGCCATCGCTACAATGAGATTGTAGAAATGAGGTATTCATTTGCCTTCAAATTTGTATTTTATAATATCTTGTGCTTTCTGAAATTTGTTCTCGCATGGTCCTCGCAAGTAAAACACAAAATACACAGTTCTTAAAGGATGTTTGTGTGGATGTGTATAATCTACTTTAAATGCTCTTTCCATTTGATATTGTTTTGTAGCCCAATTTGGCGTATTCCAGGCTGTAATGTCCCTTTAATATGCTGTACATACAACTGTAGGGTGTGGATAGGCATAAGTTGACGCGGGATGATTTGGCGGTAACAAACGTCCGCTGTGTTATGTAAAATCAAAAGTAGAAACGCAAATATGAACATTTGTCTTCAATCAAACTTCAATCATTGATCCTGATTGGTCGATCCATGGCAACAATGTGGTATTCTTAGTTATCCCGCGAGTGCGAGTGGAACACGGAATAATGCAGTGTGTCTGTGTCCCACATGCGGCTGAGTGGTATGTGGGACACAGACGCACTGCATTTTTTTGTGTTCCACGAGCGTGAGCGCGATAAGAAATTTATCTTTAAGCAAACTTGAGGCACAGTTAGATGAAACACACATGCTGCTGTTCATGTTCGTATGGAATGGCGCGCACATCTTAGAATAGTGCAATATGCGGAATGCAGTATGGACTGTGACCGTGCTACATTATATGTAGCACGACTTGTTGCCATGGATTCACCAATCAGGATTGAGGATTCAAGTTCATTTGAAGATAATATCTCATATACCATGGTCCATATCACACTCTGCCTATCATACGGACCCAACCATCGCTGAGAACAGACAGTTATCTAAAATACTACATCTGTTAAACAGCTGTGAGTTGGCTTTTGACTTCATGCATATGCTCGGGTACACTACATATATCTGTGCATTACTTTCCCCTGACAGAGCTGGCACTCAGGCACACCCTGTGACCTATGGGTTCTATGCATGACAGATTCTACAAACTGCACTTTGAGGGTTGAAAAAGAACAGCTTTTTTTCGTGGTTTTTCAGCATGGAGACACAATACATTGAACAGCTCAGTGGAACGATGTTAGCTATAAATTATTAGCCCTTAAATTTGGTCCAGTTCATGAAATGATGGCAAATGATCCTATATGCCTTGAACTCAGCTTACTTTCCCGGCTGGTCCTATCTGATTTTGGCGAGCGCTGTGGCTCGTCTGTCGGTGTTCTGGAAGATGGCCCGTATCAGGCTCTTCACGTCACTGGCGCTGAACACCATAGCGAGTGGTCCCTGGAATGACGGAGAGAATCACAGCCTCAAATGTTTAAAGAGCAACTAGACAAGAAGAGGAGTTCCCAACATAAACAATGTTTTTAATTTTAAAGTTGAGCAAAGAAATTGGCTGGAGCAGGGGTTGAACCTGTGACCTTTGGATTGCCGTTCCGGTGCTCTACCAACTGAGCTATCCAGCCCTATGTTGGTGATTTGTCAATGTCTTTGTTCAAGGGGTGCTAGTCAGAAGCCATAATCCCACATATGCCATGTAGCCAGGGATCACGCCCTAAGTCACGATGCTAGCAACATTAGCAACGCTGCAAACCTACAAATACCAAACGGGGATCACTCAGACAAGATACAACTTTTACGAATGGGGAACTGCCAGCATAGGGCTAGATAGTTCAGTTGATCGAGCACTGGAACGACAATCCGGAGGTCATTGGTCCAAACCCCACTCCAGTCAATTTCTTTGTTCAACCTGAAAGAATTTTCCAGCTTATAATTTGAATCTTATTTGTGTTGTTTCTCACCTTGCCCTCCGCCCACCTGTCAACAATATCTTGCATGCTGGCGTCTAACATAAACAGCATCTCGCTGAATGACATCAACTGATCAACGGTACTCTGCACCAAAACTGGTTCCTACGCATCAATCCAAATACGAACAGTCAACCTCCTTTACAATAAGGAATACACTTCTACATGGGCGTCGCCAGGATTTTTTCTAGAGGGGGGCAAAATTATTTTTGCCCCAAAATGCTTGTATTTCTCAACACATTCTCGATTTATCAGTTTTAGAAGGGGGCAGGAACATTTTGCCCCCCCCCCCAACTCATTAAATTTACACAACACTTTGTCTTCGCGCCTCTTTTTCTTTTTTTTTTTGGCTTTTCCGGGGGGGGGGGGGGGGGGGGCACTAGTGCCCCCCTTGCCCCCCCCCCCCCCCCCCCCCGCGACGCCCATGCACTTCTAGTTGTTTGAAAAGTGGATTTGTGGACAATTTATGAGCAAATGAAGCATAAGCTTGCAATGGTAATCACGTATCGTTCAAGCAATGCATTATCGGTCGTGTCCATCCTCTGCAACAATATATACAGAGATCATACACTTTTCTAAGCTATGGAGTAGTCTGCTACACACCTAACAAAAACCACAGTGATTCATTTTTTAATGTGAAATAATGCACCTTTCAACGGTAATGTGTGGTTTGCATTCAACAGAATGTGCTTGTTAAAAACAAAAAAAACAACATTTGTGTTTATGTTTGGTATGCACAAAGCAACACACTGTGCATTATTCAACACATGATATACATCACTTCGTGGGCCACCTAACATCTTATCAACAAATTCTGCAACAACAAACAAATTAGATTCAGGAATTGCTTTCTTACCTCATCTTCTCCTGGTTTGATCAAGTGTGGAATTCTGTCTTGCAGTCCCCAGAGTAACGAATATAACTGCTGCGCATCATCAGCTGAGATGTCCTGTCAAGTTGAGCAACAAAAAAAATGTTCTAACCAATTAGTGGCAGTATTCCACAAGGATATCACAGACGAAACAAGTGTGAGTGCACAATAAGCTCTGGTCACCTTGCATGAACTGATTGTGCATAAAAACAAGCCCGGGCAGCCGTCTCACGTGAAAATCACGAGCTGAAAATTGACCAAAATAAGCCCCCTAAGTTTCCCATCAATATAGCGGGCTACACACTACGTGACTATTAACATTATTAAGCATTATCTTGCCTCCATTTACAAAATTTTCATAAACAACTTTACAAAATGTTGCAAACAATTTTGGTTAACTATATCACTGTTTTTGTTTGCGAAAATGTTGTAGTTACATTATATTGGAAACTTAGGGAGCTAGCTTTTGCTCAATTTTCCGAGGACAGACATATGCAAAATAGATGCGCATACGCATCGATCGAGACAAACCTCGTTTTCCGATAACTTTCGTCAAGAGTGCATTTACTGACAACGGCATGGAATTTTTCAATTTTTGGTCAAAGTTTTTTGGTCAAATTTTGGGGACAGACAGACAGACTGACCAACTGACCACCAAGTGACATGTAGAAGCTCCTGCCACAGCTTAAAAATAGTCCCTAAGGCATGCTGAGTTAGGAATTTGTTGGCAGCCTATGCACTCCATGCACAAGTACCACCTCCACACTTACGAAAGGAGAGTTCAGGGAGACCACTGGGAGGGACAATCTAATGCATTGCCAACGGCGCCTGACGCCCATGCCAAGACGCCAGAGGTTTGCACAGAATTCAATCAGTTGTGTGTTCTTGACGACATACATGCATGAAACAGTCAAATACTTTAGGGATCTTCTCACCTCAAGGGACGAGACTTTCTCCACGATGTGCATGAGTACCGTGTTGATGAGTGTAGACATGGCCTTGGTGAAGATGTTACTGGGGAGGATGTCGGTCCAGACTCGCTGGAGGTGACCCAACTGATGGACAACCTGCATTGGGATAAAGACAGGGATGAGATTGCCTCTGAAAGATGCATTCCTTTCGAGACCGGTAATGTCTTTCTCTCAGATTCAAAAGGTCTGATTTCAGACAAAATCGTGCCTGTTAAAGGCTTAATATACGACATTTGCTTTTGCTGTAATTTTCAGAAATGCAAAATGGAGGATTTCTTTAAAGGATTTGGGAAGATTCCTAGCCAAAAGGCAGAGGTGAAACTTTACTTTGACTTCATTTTTATCAACAAAATTGAATATTTGAATATTCTTATGTGAAAATCCAAATCCGAGATAAGGCCGAGTAAAAAAAAACAAAAATAGTTTATCGTCCGAGCCCTTTGAAAAAAATTAAGGAGGCGGGCACCCCCCCCCAAGATGGTTGATTTCCCAAGATGATGAATTGATTGATGCATTTTCTTGTCTCATTAGAAACAAATACATTGACAATACATTTGTAAATTATTTTGTAAATATATGAATAAAAACAACACAACAAAGGAAGCGAGCAGGAAAAACCTAAGTGGGCTGTGGCAAGAAACTGGTTTATTTTTCACTTGGCCTAAAATTTTGGATTATTGCCGAACCTACTTGTTTAATGGCCCTCTCACATGCCAAGAAGTTGTCGTCAGTTGCCACTTGGTCAAAGCCCTCAGCACCAGACAGATTCTCCACTAATTGATCTCGCTGAATTCTCTGCAACATAGAAGCGGTAATGCAAATACAGGATCAGGAGAGTTTATTTATTTCGCTTGAATGCGAGTGCAATGCACATTTCACATAACATTCAAAGTGAAATTTGCTGCAGTTGAAATGTGTTGCAACTTTTGTAATCTGTGGGATGAATACCTGTTGTGATGTCAAAACTTAGGATTGGCGTAGCCAAGAAGGATACACTGGCCTTAACCCTAACCCTCCAGGGTATTGTGGCTAGAAACCCTGCTAAACGCAGCAACATGCAAGACTTGTCTACAACCCTGCTCAGTGTAGCAAGATCCATCAGGTTGGCAATCTCAAGGCTAAACTGCCTCAGAGTCTGTGGTCACCAACTGCAGCAGGATACCACTGTGGCATTGCTCAATGGGACTAACTCTCGATTGTTTCAGAATTGGCCGTTTATGCACTGGTGTTGGTGGCTCAGTGCAGCAAGGTCCCACAGATGTTTGCACCTGATGCACTGTGTTGCATCTGGCAGGGCTAGGGTTAACAACTGGATAACAGTTTTAGACCAATAAAATCAACTCAGTGCTGAAGTTTAGTCCCACTGAAATATCAGGAGGTACAGTAGAAACCCGACACATCCAGGCTGTGTTGACTCGGTACAAATGAGAAAACATAGGCTGCTGTTTTTTTACCATTTGAGCCAAGAAACATTCGGATGCCAGCTTCCTGAAGACAGGGATGAGGTCGACAAACGTGGACGTGCCGTCACAGAGGGGCGGGGGTAAGGATTGACGATACTGATGGCCTAGAGTCAGCAGGTGATGGGCGATGTACATGCAGTTGTTGTGGTGGAGAGCGCACACCTGGGGTAGCTTTTGCTGTTTCACAAGAAAAATTTAAAAAAACATAAAAGAAATGTCAAGATTTCTGTTGTGTAAGTTGAAGACAATATCAACATAACTTTCTTCATTGTTTTCATCCTTGCTTTTGTACACAGGAACTTTTGTTTTTTTGTGCATTTTTTGTTTGTTTTCATTCGAATCAATAATATTGCTCAATCATGAAAAGGGTGCATAACAAACTTGTTGACGTTTCAGCTCAGTGGATACTATACATTTCCGGAAAACAGAGAAAATGGTTGCACAATTTTAGGGGTCTCATAACTGGATTTCATTGCTTACACATGAAAAATATGTGCCAGCGGGCACATTTTCTAAAAGCACCTTCAATGATTATTTTCTTCTAAATGATACCATGTCAGGCGGAATAGTTTCATAGGTTATTTGGTACCGGTCCTATCTTCACTTGGAGCTAGGATTTTCTAGTTAAAGCGGTAGGTTGTCAGGTTGGCGTAGCGAGGTAGGTCAAATCTAGCATTAAATCGGTAGGTATGTTTCAGTTTAATTGCAAATGTCCCTATGTGCCATTAACAACCCAAGTTAGCAATTAGTCGTGTTTGTGCAACAAGGTCGTATCTCCTAAAATGGGCCGTTCGTGAAACACGAGTTTCAGAATGTCAAAAGGTTGTATCTCACTTAAAAATAACCCTGATGTAACACACAAAGTCAATGGACCTCGAGATACAACGTTTTTACTCGCGCGAGATATGACTTTGCTGCAGAATGGAGTTACGACCTTGTGAATTCATATTTGGTTATTGTATTTCAAACACGAGTAGAATTTGCTTTTGCAAAATTTGGATCTTCATTGGATCACAGTTGACAGGTTGAGATTTTCAACCCGGGTTGAGAGGCTCTAGTTTAAAAAGGCCTTAAGTGACTACTCACGTTCACTTCTGACTATGTTCACTACATGTTCACATTTTCATGACACAGACTTGGAGGCAGATTTATGTATTAATTTATTTGTTTGAAAACAAACTGGCCAACTTATTTACAAAAATCAATTTGGTGAAAGGATAGTAATGGTACAAAATCTTCCCATAAAATTTGTCAGTTTCACCACAAAAAGACGTATCGTGTGCACAAAGTCCATAGACGATTTGTCACTCTGTGGTGCACCCGAAAAATTGTAACATCTGGCATGTTATCATTTTGAAGAAAAACTACACGCTGAAAAAGTCTTCTTTTTTCCCCTAATGGTACATGACTAATTTCTAATACAATCTTTGAGCACCTATCTATGCATTTCAGACAAATTGTTTTGAGCAACTATGACATTTAGCAGATGATAATGAAATTCAGTATTACTAAATGACCATTTGAAAAAGTCCAGAAGTTGACTCACCAGACTATCTCTGTGATATGTGGGTACGACATCACAAAATATCTCAAACATGTTTCGCACTGTGAAGAACAGTTGGATGGCACTGCTAACATAAAAATATGACATTAGCAAAAATCCTTTACACTATGTAGGTTGAGGTTGAATATATTGTGTACACTGACATTTTTTTCAACACATTTCAATTTGCTTGGACAAAAGCACTTTTGGTTTTTCACATGACTTGGGACAAGTGCAGCCAAGTGGTTTGGGTTCGTGACTCATGATCAGAGGGTCAGAGGTTCCAATCCAGCTGCTGGCCATATGTTGTGTCCTTGGGCAAGCCACTTCACCCCCACTTGCCTCTCTCCACCCAGGAGTATAAATGGGTACCGGCATTAGTTGGGGAGTAACCTGCAATGAACTAGCATCCCATCCAGTGGGAAACATACATTTTCTCAGTCGTTTCATGCTACTGAAACCGGAGGTAAACACCAGCCTGATGGGCCATATTGGCTCACAACAGACTTCACTTTACTATGGTGAGAATAGCATAAACATATCAGATCAGGCAGTTGGCATGGGTGGCGCAGTGCGTAAAGCACTTGCCTCTCACTGCTGTGGCCTGGGTTCGATTCCCGGATTGGGTAATATGTGAGTAGAGTTGTTCATTAATTCTCTCCTGTGCCATGAGGGTCATACGATGGCTGCTTGAGGCGCTTGTACATAACATGCCTTTGGCTCGACCATGTTGTAGCCGCGTCCTTCACAATTCAGCTTCTGCTGCGAGTAAGGATTAGCTCCCCAAATTAATTAATGAAAATGCAAAGCCAGATGGACACATTTTCCAACTCACCATTGTGGTGTGTTACTAGCAGCTTCTTGTAATGTCTGGTAGGCTAGATTAACAAGACACTCTATGCTTTCACTGACTGCACACTCAGGCAGTGCACAGATACCCTCGCTCACGTGGCACTTGTCCTGAAAGAAGTAAAAAAATATGCATTGCAAGTGTCCTCAAGTGAAATTGAATATTTAATATGATAAGTTCATTCAACACATTTCAACAACAAATATTTCAATTAATGTTTTAAACTTGCAAGAACTCTTAAAGGCTGATTAGAATGACAAAATCAAATCCAGTTTAGTCTTGAAGCGCACAATTTCCAACAAATTCTAACCTTGGCATCTTGTGTTTGATCTTTGACGTTCTTGTTGTCAACCTTCATTGTACCGACTCTCTTTGTATTGTGCAGCTCTCTCTTCATCAGCTTGCGGGCTTCAACTATCAGCTCTTGACACTTGCAAAAAGGAAATAAACCAAACATAAACAATGTCAGGGATGTAGTCAAGTACATCACAAGTCCAGTCACAAGTCCAGTCACAAGTAAATCACAAGTCCAGTCACAAGTAAATCACAAGTCCAGTCACAAGTCCAGTCACAAGTCCAGTCACAAGTCCAGTCACAAGTCCAGTCACAAGTCCAGTCACAAGACCAGTCACAAGTCCAGTCACAAGTCCAGTCACAAGTCCAAACAAACTGAATGTTGCTATTAAAGAAATGTTGCCACAACATATTGAGAAGTACCTTAAAAAAAATAATTCACCTTTTTGTTAGCAAAGTGGACATTGACATCTCTGGCGTAGGTCAGCAGTGGAGAAGCAGTTTCTGCAATAAACCCTGAATAAGAGAAATTCTCTGCTATTTCAAATATTTAGCTTCAAGGCAGTGTTTTATTTTATTATTTATATGAGGCTTCCAGCGGTCAAAAATAAATCAGCGTATTGTATGCTTTTGTGAAACGAACCAAGATAGCAATAATTTGGAAATTCTCCGGCGCGCCCTCATCCAGGCATTTTCGCTGCAAACTCACAGTTGTCAACCACTCAACAGAGCGTAGTGCGCGGTACCGTTGAACAAAGACGCCCACGCAGCAAGCATGCAGCACGCAGCAGGCCAGATATACGCGCACTGTTGTCAACAATTACAATGGCAGCTTCAAATAGTTTGACGAAAAAGGAGAAATGAAGACAGTGTCTTGAATTGTATTTCTAGCGAATTAAGTCAGCTCGATATAAAAAATAATAATATTGGATGGCTTTTTTTTGGGGGGGGGATACAAGAATATATTGTCTTCGACTCGTGCAATATTGTCATAGCTCATGCAATATATTCTTGTATCCACCTCAAAGCCATCCAATATTATATAAATATTCTGTATGATTATTTGTTTTGGTTTGCTGTGTAACTGCTGACTGACCTGTTTTCCGTAGAGAAGCTTCAAATCCCTCGGTAGCCGTGATGACAGCTTTGTATTCATTGAGCTAAAATGGTGAATATGATAAAATAAACAAATTAACAAATGTTATCATACACTATTTCTGTAAATACATTTTCAAACATGAATATTCACTACACAGCATTAAATGTGCAGACTTCTTTCTTTTTTTATTCATATACACTACAAAATCACAAGTGAATTTTATTGTTTCAACCAAATTGGCACAATTCCATCACTGAAAACCTCCCGGTTCGATTTTCAGTGTTTTAATTTCTAGAATAATTTTTTCCCCTCAAATATTCCATTTAAGATTTTCAAATAATATTCCAATAAAATAAACTTTAAAGGGGCACTAGGTCCTGAAATCCCCGAAAATTTCAGGTTTTGGATTGTTTACTTATCCTACAATAAACTCCAGCTAAGACGGCACTCTCGGGACCAGAGAATTTGTGACGACTTACGCGAATGTCGGCTTCTGCTGCAAGTCGTCATTTTGCCGACTTACACGAATACACAAATTAAATCACAAATACACAAATTAAATAGATCGTGAGGGGAGCTCTCGGAATTGAACGGGAAATTTCACTTTTCATCCGACTCGTAAGCAAACTTCAGCACCTTGATTTTAATCATCGATCTCTCCTTGTACCTCAGGTGGCGTATCTAGTAATTTGAAGGCTGTTTTGAGGTAAATCTGATGTTTTTATTTGCCAAAGTTGTGTTTTTTGGGGGGTCAACGGCGGTCGGCAGAATAGTGTCGCGCGACTTTTCTCATGGTTTCTCGAGAATCGCCACCAAAATCATTGAAAAATTTCATATTTTAGTCTTCATTGTCCTGTTTGAAGTCGATTATTAGCTTCGTAAATGCCTGTTGCATCGTATGAGGTATGAATTATGGAATCTGGGTCGAGATAATATAGGGAAAATGGACCGTTTTTGTAATGCACTGGGGATACATAGTCCAGGATTTCGGGACTCTTACGACCCGGTACTTTTAACGTAGTTGTGACTCCAGGGGGGTCAGACAAGTCGATCGTTGAGACAACTCGACTCGGGACAAGTCGAACGTTGAGACAACTCGACCATTGAGACAACTCGACCGTATGTGTGATAAATGGAAAGACAAATCTACCGTTGAGACAAGTCGACTCACTTGTTTTGGGGCCTAGTTTTGGGGATAGTACTGGGGATTTTGACGGTGGCTGATTGCCGATTGGGAGTTGTGACACATGAGTTTTTTGTTGCATCTCAAAAAAAAAACAAAGCCGATATAGCTCAGTGTGATTGACCGTGCACATCGTCCGTTTTTCCGGGCCACGCGCATCCCCGGTCAACGTGGCCGTACCGTGCATGGTGACATCGTTTTTGCCGGGCCTGTGCGCGCACTTATCCCTGGTCAACGTGGCCATGCCGTGCACGGTGGCATTGTTTTTGCCGGGCCTGTAAGCCCACTTGCCGCGCCGGTCGACGTGCCCGCGTGCCAGGCTGGGCCCGGTCCTCGCAGGCGGGGCGCGCCGGCCCAACGCGACGGCCACCGGATCGGAGCGCGCCTCTGTGCATCGAGTATGCCCGTGCTGTGCCCGGGTTCTGCCACAGATTGCAACTTTTTCCGCTCCACGTGTATACATTTTCATCGAGTCGAGCTGTCTCAACGGTCGAGTTGTCCTGAGTTGAGTTGTCAAACCGGGCGACTTGCCTCAAGGGTCGAGTTGTCTCAACGGTCGACTTGTCCCGAGTCGAGTTGTCTCAACGGTCGACTTGCTCGACATTCGACTCCAGCCTTAATGCGATGGGCATTAGAGCTGAAGTTACTCAAGCTAAGTTACATCATGGGACTATGTCATTGCCAATTACCCCTAGAACTAAGCTGGAGTAACTCCAGCTGACATGCTCATAATATTCATTCACATGTATCGCTGGAGTGTGGTAGCAAGAGACCCTAAAAAAATGGCCTCTCAAAAATTTTTCATTTTCACCTCTAATATCCCACCTCGGATTTCATTTACATACCTCGTAGATTCAGCAGTCATTCACAGAGCCTAATGATCGACTCGAAACAGACCACACAAAAAAACCTGTCTGGTGAGGTCAGGAAGATCACTGGTGGAGCTGTTGAGCTGGGAACTGATGTCTCCCTGAATACCAACAAAAAATAAAGATACCAAATTGACTTCTTTTGACAATAAAAAGTAACATCTTAACCAGTTTGCATCAGAGGACGTGATAAGACGCACTGGCTGTTTTTATGCACAGGCACGGCTGATGGATTTTCTAGGGTTAAAAGGTCAAAATTGCCTCCACTCACCTCCGGGTAACATTCTGCTTTTGCACACACACAAAAGTCTGTGAAGTCATACAGGCCAGACTGTGTGTTGATCTTGAATCGGCCGTTGTGCATGGCCAATTGTTTGACAATTTACGTTCCAGTGGACACCTCAAAGTATTGAACCATATGAGGTTTCGGCACAAAGTGGGACGCTTGGGTAAAAAGAACCCCTATGCCAAATATCAGGCCAAAATATTTCCATGAAAAAAATGCATCATTTTACCAACTTGCTGTGCTCACATTTGTATGGCCCTTAGCACAGAGATTACTCCAGTGTGTGGCCATAGAATAAGCTAGGTTTTTACCAACGGTGCAATAAGTGATAACCACAGACACCAATGCCTATCTCATCAGACAGCCCCACATACCTAGTCTAGGGGCTGGACGTTATTATGGTTTGATACGCAATAACCCCCGCAGCGATAACCCCCCACAAGAGGGAGCTCTCACTCATGACCAACCAATATCACCCACCATCAAAACTTTCTACATGCAGTTTACCATTACTTTCATATAGACATGAGGCTAGGATATTTCCAGGTTTTAGTGAAATTCATCCTATGGCCTTTAAATTCTGTTATACAAAATTACATAAAGACCCTGAGAAATCTTCACCATGGAGAACATCGTGAACTCTTAATAGAGCACAAACTGTATTATCATTATCGAAAGTTGAATGCTTAGAGAGCAAACTCACCACAAATCCAAAATGTCTTGGGAGGTTTTGGATCTCAATCTTGAAGATCTCTGAGGTGAAGTGCTGTTGTGTCCGATAGTGATAAGGATCCGTTATGGCAGCGCCAGTCACTGGTACGTCAGAGGTGCTGGTGGAATGGTTATCTTGTGGGTCAAGACCTGATAGACAAAAATGAACAAAGCAAAAAACCAACTCCGATCAGAGAAAATAAATTTACTTTGATTTTTTTAAGCATGAGATATTTGTAAGTTTAATTATGAGTTTTCAAGTGAGACACTGCACAACATAATCAGTTCACACTGACAAACAGATCAATGAATTGCAAATTTTGAATAAAAAACATCCCAAAGTTGAATACTGTTAATATAGATGTACAACAATTGTACACAGTACCTGAAAAAAAGTTAATGCTTTAAAATATGAACCTCTTTGTAAAGTTAGAGATAAACCTATATATAAATATCTGAATTTGGACGGTTCCCAAAAATGACCAATTTCTACAAGCTGCTGTTTTTGTGTGCATAATTCAAAACTGCCAAGCACAAATAATGCTATGTACTATCACCATTCTGGTATTTGAACTAGTATGCTTTTCTGATACTTGATACTTTATTGATGCCTCATAATATTTTGATATTTTTATTTGCTTTTTTGAATGGGCTTTGTATTAATCAACAAAAGAATGAATCAAATTAGGTTTTGCCCTTCACCGATGTATAAACACTGTATACTCAGTGTGGTACCTCCCGAGTAAAAGTTGGAAAAAAATCACTCGGGTGGGACTCAAACCCACAACCTCCTGCTTTCTAGTGCAGACATCTTACCACTCGACCACCGAGCTGGTTGGTTCAAATCTGATGTACATAGCAGCGGGTACTGCATTAACTATTCATAAGATGGATAGTCGGTGAAGGGCAAAACCTAATTTGATTTACATCACCCCGACGCAAAATTCCATCGTAAGCCGTGTCCGCACTGGACTTTTCTTTGGAAGGTTTTACCGAGACGATGGTAAAATGAGAAATGGTCAAATGTGACCACTGTCCGCACTGGACTTATCGTCTCGGGAAAAGTGACCTGGTCAATTTTCCTGGGCGCGTGGTCAGTTTTCCTGGGCAGAGGTTGGCCAGTAAAAGTAACCGCTGGACACAGGAAAAGTAACGGAGAGGAAAACGTCCTAGGCTGTCCGCACTGGACTTAAAACAGGAAAAGTACCCATACATGTAGTTTTGGTAAGTTTGACCAAAAAAAGTCCAGTGCGAACAGGGCTTTATAAAAGAATGAATGTTTTAAGATATGAATGGCTTTGTAAACTTTGCATTCATTCATCAGAAATTCACAAGTTTGACAGTTGAACGAAGGTTCAAGGACAGAGGAAACGACAGACGTGGCGGAGGTGTCTTTATCTTGGTTAAGGATGGTTTCTCAGCCATTGAACTTTCTGAAGATGGTTGTGAATTACTCTGGTGCCAACTACCGCTCAAGCCGAAAGGAGAGGACATCTTCATCTCTGCATATTATAGAGCCCCCGACTCCTACAGGCCAGAATCTCTAGAAAACCTAGACAGAAGTCTGAGTAAAGTGCAGGCTCAGGTAAACTCCCCATTCATCATTCTTGGAGGAGACTTCAACATCCCGGGCATGCTTTGGAACTCAAGGACTGGTACATGTACGGTATTCAATCCAAAATTATCAACATCGCAGATGACTACAATCTCCAACAAAAGGCAAATTTTACTACAAGGAGAGACCCAGTTACAGGAACAGATAACATCTTAGATTTGCTCTTCACCACATGTTCAACTCTGGTTTGTAATGTTTACAGCAACTCCGGGATTAGCGATCACGCAACAGTGTTAGCTGACATAAACATCACCGCACCTCGCTCTGTCAAGCCCCCTAGGACCATCTTCAAGTGGAATGACGTGGATGAATGACGTCCTCGAGCTTAAGACCGAATTCATGCAGTCATCTCCAGAAACCAGAACAGTTGAGGCAAATTGGAGAATTTTTAGGGACAGGCTGAAAACTAACGAATTAGTACCACAAAAACCAGTCCAGGGACATTCTAGACCCTCATGGCTCACTACTGTCCTAATCCGTTGCTGCAGGAAGAAAGAGCGCAGCTATGTGAAGGCAGTAACAAGGGGTCTACATTCAAACTTTTTGCAAAAGCAAGTGAACAGCGAAATCCGAAGGGCTAAACGCAAACATTTACAAGAAACTACATCTACAGGTAACCCCCAGAAATGTTGGCGCTACGTAATCAGCACTCGTAAAGACAACACAGGGGTTCAGGTTCTAAAACTCAACAGGAAAATATCACATCTGACCAAAAAAAAGCTGAAACCCTACAAGACCAATTCTGTAGTGTTTTCAGCAGGGATGACACCGATGTGCAGCCAGTTCTACCACCGAGTCCCTACTCAGACTTGATAAACATCACCGTGTCTGTTAGCGGAGTCCTCAAGTTACTGACGTCGCTCAACTTGAAACTAGCTGCCAATGAAGTTGCCCCAGGACTCGCATTCATATTCCAACAATCACTTGACCTGGGTTCTCTACCATCTGACTGGAAGAAAGCCAACGTAACACCCATTTTTAAGAAAGGCTCTCGTGCAGACCCGGCAAACTACAGACCTGTGTCGTTGACCTCTGTTTGCTTTAAGTTATTAGAGCACATCATTGATAGCCAATAAATGAAACACCTCCAGAAACACGACATCCTGAACGAAAACCAACATGCTTTTCGTAAAGGCCTGTCCTGTAAATCCCAACTCGTAACAACTCTGGATGACATCTCCTACAATTACAATTATGAAATCACCACAGACATGGCAGTACTTGACTTCTCCAAAGCATTCGACATAGTTTCTCATCAAAAACTGGTCCAAACATTAGACTACTACAGGATAAGGGGAAAAACACAGAGATGGATCAGGGAATTCTTAACCAACAGGTCACAAAGAGTTGTGGTAAATGGAAAATCTTTGAAATGGCAAAGTGTCGTCAGTGGCACCGTGCTTGGCCCCCATCGGTTTTTACTTTTCATCCATGACATTAGCAAATCAGTGACTGGCACAACTCGCCTTTTCGCTGACGACTGCCTGTTATATCGGAAGATCTGCTCATCAACTGATGAACTGATGTTCCAAAAAGACCTGGACAACTTGGCTCACTGGGCGCAAACCTGGGGAATGAAATTGAACTCCAGCAAATGTAACATCATGCGAATCTCCGGGAAGCGGGCCCCCGGCAAAACTAACTACACCATGTTAGGATTCAACCTTGTAGAGAAAACCAACATCACATATTTGGAAATAATCATTCAGAATAACCTAAGTTGGAATCACCAAACAGCACATGCCACTTCCAAAGCAAGTCGTATATTGAACTTCATCAAAATAAATTTTCATTCTGCATCCAGATCAGTCAAAGAAAAGCTGTACTTAGCAGTAGTCAGACCACACCTAGAATATGGCAGCATTGCTTGGAACCCTCACATAGCTAAGAACATAACATCCCTGGAAAAAGTGCAACTGATGAGGGCTGCTCGTTTCGTAATGCGAGATTATTCCAGACTGAGCGGTGTGACCGACATGTTGACAACCCTAGGCTGGTCTTCACTGGAAGAGAGAAGGAAAGTTAACCAACTTACCTACTTACCTACTAAAATAATACACAACATAGTTCACATTAACTCATCATCCATAGTCCCCAAACCAGCACCGGCTCGTAGAATTCACAACCACCAGTTCACAGAAATGGCAGCAAGGACAGACATCTATATGCAGTCATTCCTACCCAGAACTATACGGAAATGGAACAAGCTCCCTCAAGACACCACAGACGCCCCAAACCACAACACCTTTAAGGATTTAATTTAGTTCCACTTCCCCAAGGCCTCCTTGCTAGACTTCCACGTGGAGTATTCAGGATAACCACCAAGTACCAAGTACCAAGTAAAGGTGCAATTTTTTAATGAAATTGAACCCTCATTCCCCCAATTTATAAAAATTATCTGGAAAGCAACAAAACTATCTTGCAGCAAAATTAATTTCACTGGGTTAAAGTATTAAGTTTCCAATAAGCAAGAATGGACAAAATCACATGAATGGGATTACACTTTTGTAGCTGACCTGGCAAAGGAGCAAACGTCTTCACCAAGTAAAAGAATAACAAGTCACCTTTGGATCTGTCCTCCTCATCTTCATTGGGAATAGCATCCATAGTGATGGCCACATCTGTTGGCATCTTGACAACATCACCCTCTGTAACTGTGGTTGACGTTACCTCCCCAGTTGGGACATCATCAGAAGTTGCTCTCTGCTTCTCATCCAGTTTGGTGTTAATACGTTGGACAAAAACACACTGGAAATATAAAGAAACTGCACATAAAGCAGTTGTATACTATTGAAAGCCATGACCAGTGGGATATCTAGGGGGAGGGGTCGAAATTTGTCCCTGCTATTTTTGACTTTTTAGGACATATCATTTTCTGATGGCTGATAGGTCATTTAAGGGAAAAATTACGGCGATCGTGAAGTGTAGGGCCCCCGTTTTGTTTTGATCAAATTAGAATCGAAAATGTTTTTTATTGTTCAAAACTCACCTTTACAATCAAAAGCAGCCTTTTCTCAATTCTAATAACACCCATTTTTTAATTTTGAACAGATTCTTGGGGTAGAAATCACGGTTTTCCTGCGTGGTTTGTACCTTGGGATTCAGCGCGCCTTGCATGCTCACGGAACATCGCGCGGTGATTGCCATCTTAATTTTCGGGTCGCATGTTGTCGCCGCGCCGTCATTGTCATTTTACCCCCAAATTTCCCTCAAAACATCAAAACCCTGCCCTCTATCTATGACAAACCTGTTTATTGAGAATGTTGCAAACTATTATGGTAGGTCAAATAATTTTTAAGTGGATTTTGTTCCCCAAGTTATAGGAACCGGGCCCTGCACTTCACGACGGCCGAAGTATTAACTCAACTGTAGCTGGAGTTACCCAGCCCTAAATTTTATCATTGGGTTGTCATCTAGATGACAACCCAATGATACCCAATTGGGTGCTGGGTAACTCCAGCTAACTCAACTGAGAAAACACTTTAAAATTTTCAGACCAGTCTCAAAGGGTTTGTGCACAGGGTGGCAAGTGATGGCCAGATATGGGAATCTTTCCTTTAATGTTAATTGTTATTGTTAATTAAGCATCTCAAACTTTTCACGAATGAGATACCACGCTATTGAATACAAATAATAAACGCAGTACGTCTATCAAACTCAAAGTATCATGTCCGATATGGCCACTTTTTGCAGTACGTTTCAGTTTCACTAAATAAAATAATGCAGATTTCACCATTAGCTAATATAAACAACTAAATTAATGTTATCATTTATTAAATGGTTAGATAAAATTATCTACTGATACTGACCAAGAAAGTGAAGATAGCGCCAGATTTACAGTCGCGTGTTTATGTTGTTGAATGCTGCCCTCGTGTGTCGTTCGATTGGCATGCAAGCTCTTTCGAAACATCGGCCTCCATCGCAGGTCCCTACTGCTTCAGCTTCATATATTGAACTGGCATCCTTTTTTTTTAACGAGACGCATACGTCTTCCATAACGGAAGCTCAACAATATTTATTTGTCTATTATTATTTGACAACTCACGCTTCCTGGGTAGCTGTGTGGAAATTTCATAATCTTCTTAAATTTTTATAGTAGACGAAGCCGCAGCTGGGAATGAATCGAATTTTTAAAAACTCTTTAAACCCATGTTTTCTTTTTTTCTGGAGGGCTAGGCCGGCGCTGTTTACGCAACTCAAGTAAGTTTCCACAGGGAGAAATGGCTTTAAGGGAAATAAATAAGCTGTTTACGCTGAACACTAGTTTTTCAGTTTTTCCCCTTGACCAGTTTGAGTGGCTCTTCACCAAGGTAATGAAAGTCGAAGGAGCGTCAATAGAGCTAGAGAGGGGCTATGTGCAAATATTATGTTGGACATTTTACAAATCCCCGGGAGCATCAAACTAGGCCTATATCTATACTCATAAAAAAGTAATAATATAGCAGTGTTGAACCCCACCGTACAGGAGCGACACAAAATATTGAATTCTACTTCGAATGCTGGAGGGAACTATATGCTTAAATGTTTCCAGTGACGGGTGCATATGTAAGTAAATGTAACCGTGAAAAATGACACACTTGGAGAACTCGCACAAACTAAGACTCTATGGGGATTAACTAACTAAACTAAACTCAGGATCTTTGAAGGGAAAAGTCGCGAGGAAATTGAATTAATAGAGACCAGAGACGAATTCTAGATTTCAAACAAAAAAAGGACCAAAAAGAATTTATTCACAAGAACCTTAAACCATAAACCAGAAACTAAAAGCAAAGAATAAAACCTAAAAACCAAAGACTAAAACCAAAAAAAAAAAAATTGAGACTTAAACCCTAAAATCTAAAACCAACACAGTGTGAATAGAGGATCTTTCAAAGAACACTCAAGCAGGAATAAAGTCAAAGCAAATGACTCGGCAACAGACTAACTTCAAGCAGAACGGGCACTCCAGTTAGGAGGAAAATATATGCATGTATGTCTATTGTCTGCTGGTCTGCTGGCTGAACTGAAGTGTGACTTGACCATGTGGCAGCTTTTATAGGGGGAACATGTGGGCTTAAGTAAACAAACAGGGGTCACACTACCAACAAAGGGGGGGGGGGACATCTAAACTTCAACTAAAATGATTTTCTGTTTCTAAGGGGAGCTACTCCTATTTACTATACACTACATACATGAAAAATATACAAGATAAATTTGGCCCTGCCACATAAACACTAAATGAAATGTTTTCTGTGGCTATAACTTTGCCAATAGAAATAATTATTAACAGACTTTTGTCTAAAAACTGTTGAGATACTTTGGACAGTATTTTTACCTATGAAATATAAATGAAGTTGATATTTGTTTCACACGAAGTAAAGAATAATAAAAAAAAGACTGCCGAAAAATTTAAATTGATTAAACACAGCGTCACTGTAGCTCATATATTATTACTGCATTTCACTGCCAACCTGGTTCGCTACAGTGGTGAAGCAACAACTCACAAATAATTAAGATACCTAAAGTAGTAAAAACAAAACTAGAAAGACACAACATTTTTTAATCATCCTTTTTATACAACTTGGCAGAAAGTCCTTAATGCCTGGTGAACTGGATAAAAATCGCCACTTGAAGGAGTTTAGGCAACACAAAAAGAGAAATTTCCCATTCCGCGATAATAGGGATGCTGCGATAATAGGGAGTCCGACTAAACTTTAAAAATATAGCAACGGCATACTAAAGTTATATTGCAAATGTTTCTATTTTGGGAGAATATGTATACATTTGTAAAATGTTATGTAATTGGCACACGGATGATTTTCAGCAAAACATTCTCGGAACTCTTTCCATGCATAGGATTTAACTAAGCTTCTTTGACTTTCGACAAAAGTATATTATAATATTTGTGGATTTATTTTATTTACCTCCTATTTTCAATTATGATATGATTTTAAATATTATGCATGCAGTTGTTTTCACCAACATGGAAAGAAATTCATTTATTTCATATATAAACAAACGCGCATTTAATAACAATGTCGGATGACAAATCCACATTGGTTTAAGAAGTAGGACACAATGGAGACTTTTGTGGCAGCCAATTTGACTCATCTGCAGACGATGACGTTCTTGGTGCTTCCTTGACGTTCGATATTGTTCAAATTATTTTTCAATGTAGTTAAAATTAGTCATTCTTTCAATGTTAAAGAAAAAAATTGGTCCAAGTACTAAGTGCGCAAAAAATGGTCAATGTTTTTCTACATCACTACCTCGTGTTGGTTCAGCATCAGAGGTGACGGAATGTTGCCACCTAACGCTGCTTTTTCCTTCGTATATCATCTCAATGAAGGTCAGTAATTGCAAAAATGATGATATATTGATAAGACATGAATCTGGGACTGAGAAACATTTCCAATTTTGTTAGGAAATACATTTAAAAAAATCTTGACTCTCCATAGACTTTGTACACAACTGCAGAAGTAGCGTCAGGTTGCAACATTCTTTCCGAGGTGACTGTTGGCTCTCCAAGAAAGCCTTCTAAAACCTCTTCCACCGCCTCAAAAGAGATCCCATCTGCGAGTGGTTTCTTTGTTAAATGTTTTATGCCTGGTTTTTATGAACTGCCACTTTGAAAACTGCTGTGAAGATTTGGATTTGAGTAGAAAATGAGATTTTCTACTGATTTTATTGGCATAGCCGTTTTATACATTCACATTTTTTTTTACATCATACATGTTTACTTGACAGTTTTTCTCATGTTTTTGTTCCGCAACTGTAGGCACATCCATCAGTGCGGATGAAAGGCGCTGAGGCAGACTGGACGCCCATACAATGCACAGACAGGGAGTGTAGCCACTCCTTGATGAAGGCTCCGCATCTCACTGTCCATTCTGCTCCCAGGACAGTCTCTTCACTGATGAGATTCTCCTCAAGGCGCACTACAGGGTCAAGCACGTGGATAAAGGCATCAACTTTGGGGGTGAGTTTGCATTTGGGAACAAGACCAAGCTCTCGCATACTTGATCCCAAGAAATAAGTTTTAGGTTAAGGCACATGTTTTAATTTTCTCTTCACATCGTGACATCGCGCGGGATGTGTGCGCCAATCTCCATAAAAAGAGTTGTTAACATCTTACTTGCGAGCTGGACACTCCATTATTTAGCTATAGAGGGGTGTTAAAAAAACATGAAGTGAACTTGTTGAGCAAAATCAGGTTTTTTTACCAAAAGGTTTGGATTTTTTTGACATAATAGGTATTTATGAATGGGAATAAATATGTGCTTGGTCGGTATTTAAGTTTAAGACCGCTTGGAGTCTGGGTGCTGATAAATACCATCGCCTTCGACTCCAAGCGGTTTTAAACAGAGTGATTAAGACCTTCCAAACATACTTTTATTCCCTTTAAACTGCATCAACAGTGATAAGCTATTAAACATTGGCACAGGTGGGTAAACTACCATGGTTCACTCAGAAATTCCGGTTCACTCAGAAATTCCGGTTCACTCAGAAATTCCGGAGCTCATTGGACTTATTTATAGCTTAAAAGACTCTCTGAAATAAATTTCACAATCAAACATTTGACTCAAGTATTTATTCTTTTGAGAATGATTAGAGACACCTTTTTGGCTTAAACTGTTTGAAAATGCACTTTAGTTTTTAACCTTCGCAGTTTCAGTGCTGTTTCAAGACAACTGAGTATGCCGTTGCTGTAATGTAATGGTCCCCTTTAATCTGCATGAAAAAAAAAAAAAAAAAAAACAATGAAATAAATTTAATCAGTTGAAATTGATGTACCTTGTGAGCAGGTATGGTGGTTTACAAGGATTTTGGTGGATTTTATCAAATGCCAACACTTAGGGTCTTTTAAAATAATTAAGTTTGAACTTTAATTTTTCCTTGTACATTTGCGGTGTAAATTGAATCTTTTGCAACCCTGCAGGTTTTGTCTCATTTTATCATCCTCAACCACTTCACTCCACCATTTTTACCCAGGATGTCAACTAGATCTTCACCACATACACTGACCCAGCACCCAACAGTACCAGCCTGGTAACACACCTCATAGTCCCCCAGTCACAGCAGCCATCGGAGACGGACACATCATCCCCGGGGCTATGAGCAGACTGATGGGCAGCAGCCGCAGATCGAGTACCAGTATGCCTGCATCAATGATCTGAGCCAGAGCACTGCCAATGGGGAAGGTAAGATGGTAAGAATATTAACCCTGACCCTCCAAGAATCCTTCAGCATCTACCCAGAGGTTAAGGTGGATAATGCCACCAGCAGTGAAGGATAATTAGAAGAAGCTGACCAAAAAGCAAAGGGGGAGGCATTTGATGCAAGGAAGAACTCTTCCCCCCCCCCCACTTTGTTTTCAATTGATATATCGTGAATCCATATGGAAGAAGGGAATGGGTAGACAACAGCATGTTTAATACAGTTGTCTTCACTCCTGCACTTGTTTGGTCAATAAAATAAATAAAACAACAACCAAAAGTTCAGCATTTTTTTAGGGGGTTGGGGTGGGTGAGGGCCAATATTGACAGTGGATTTTACAAATTGAAATTACAAGGTGCAAAGGGTGTGCCATTGGTTTTATTTAAGTTGATTGAATTTTGGAGGATTCAGGAAGGTTCTAAGCAACAAAAAAAATCTAATAAGTCAGGGTGGCAGTACATTTTGAGAGCTGACTTCAACAATTAATTAAATATTGGCATTTGTCCTTCACCTTGCCCACCTAATGTTAGGAATACGGTTTGAAAAAGTGAGTGATTGCTTGCACCCAGTAACAAGGAATTACATGTTCTTGACACACTGCATCACTGGGGACTTTCTTGCCTGTATCCTGTTTTTACCGCTACATATCATCTGTCCCATTCAAGCGCAACATATATGTCGACCTTTCTACTCCATAAACTCCTCCCATCATTTCCCCTCTTTGTGTAGCCCACACCTGGAGTGACCTTTTGATGACCGACTTTCATTATTACAGGATTTATTATCCAGGATAATTACTCAACCTTTCCCTCTCGTAAACAGTTGTCCTTATTGAGATACCAGACGAAGGAAGCAAAGAGGATTTGGAGGACGAGACTTGCTACACAGAGCACAACTTGTCGCTGCTGCTGCAGGAGAAGGAAAGTCTGGAGAAGACTCTTGAGGAGGAGCGGACCACGTGGGCCCAGACAGAGCACAGGATGAAAGGCACTATAGAAAGGCATCGTACAAAGGTGAGTGGGCATTCCATCTGGTCTTGGTCAAAGAATGAGTTTGGATCTTGTTCCCTGCATGCAACAGGTACCAAGGGCGTCAATCGCTTCTTAAAAGTGGGAGGGGGGACATACCTTGATCAGAACTAATGCAGGCACACTAATGCGACTGCGTTCTTTCAGTGGTCAGATTCCTGTCAGGATGCCAGCTGTCATGGCTGTGGGCGATCATGGTGTGCACTGTTGTTGTCATTGCTCTACATTTTCTACACGTTCTACGTTGTTTTATGCGCTGATGCTGCTGATGATAAATGCAGACAAACCGTTGCACACATTTTGTACACAAGCTCAGATGTGTCGTTTATCCTTGTGTAGAGGATTCGTGGTTTCACTCAAACTCTAGTTGCACTAAATAACTGGGTAACAACACATGTGCCTTCTTAAGCATTCATGCTCCAACTGCACACATCATGAAGTGCATAAATGTCAGACTTTGGTGTGCGCTGTCATGGTTGTGATTGGTTACACATCATGGGGCAGAGCCTAATGGATTGGTCTATTAAAATTCCATCTGTAAACAAATAATTTCTCTGCCCATCCGTCTTGCCCTCCAGGTTGAGTATTTGTCCAACACAAACATGTCACTCAAGCAGCAGCTGTCCATGATTCACACGTCCAGTTTGAAACATCTAACCAACGACAGCGAGAACCAGTCCATTTTGCAAGAGTTACTGCAACACATGTCTGAGGAGCACACCCAGCTGCTGCACCACCATCTAGCACAGCTATGGCTGTACGCTCAGGCCTGCGCATTATCCAAATCAGCCCCCGAGGAATCTGCAGCTAAATCACAGTCTTGGTACCAGACCTGGCTGACCAATCACAGGACATCTCACACATGGCCATGATGTCGTCCTCGGAGGGCACCCTTGGGAACATGGAGCAGACAGTCGTCATGACGATAACGCCTGAGGAGGATTCGGAGCCGTCGGCAACATCGTGGATAACCCCGGAGATACTGTGGGACATGACTCCTTGACTTTGGATTAGGACGTTCACTTGTCACCAAATGACATTCTGTACCAACTGACAAGCGAGGGACTGTCACCAAGACATGCCACCTCTGAGTCGGGTCACGTTTATCAATCAGGTAGAACTCATTCACATCACAACACAGGCTGTGATGTCACGCAACAGGATTTTCACAAGAACAAAAGTTGAAAATTGGTTCTTTCCAACAGCATGCCAAAAATATTCTGCCCCGATGGCTTTGACAAAAGAACGTTTGATGACAACATGTCAAATGAGGGACCACCATTAAAATGTGGGAGAACTAACAGCCTGAAAGCCACTTAACTAAATAAAACCGGACATATTTTGTAAACAGTGTACACTCAGTGTTGTCCGAGGGCTTAGTTGGGGGGGGGGGGGACTTGAACTAATGAGTTGAGTCTTCATGGAAGTTTGTCTTACCTGAATGAAAAATTTTACCAAAGCAACTGGCCTTGGTCTCTCCTATCTTTTCGAGTTCTCGATGGGCAATCCCGAATCCGCTCAGTGAATGGGCGTCGTTGTAGGCCCAAACAGATCCATGTAGGTCCTCAAATCTATTACTGAAACATAAACGATGCAATTATGATTAACATTGAAACATTTGGTCGTATGTATAAAAACTAGCATTTGCTTTTTTTTTACTACATATTTTTAAGCATAACTTTTATTTGCATGAATAAAAATGAGAGCAAATGCTTTCACTATTTGCTTCAAGCTAAAAGTATTTGCTTTTTTACTTTTTGGCTTTTGCTAGACTAGAAGTGTGGACTGGTTTCAAACTTGAAAAAAATATAAATTTCAATTGACCTCAAAATTAATAAAATTTTAAAATCTACAACTCCAACTGTGGGACTTGAACCAGCAACTTTCAGAAGTTCAGATTTAGGGTCATCAGTCCGTATTACTTGATTAAGCACAACTTCACACTATTTTGTGGTTACAAAATTAACTGTAAAGTTTCAATTGACCTAAAAAGTAGTAAAATTTTGAAATCTAAAATTCCCAGCGTGGGAATGAACCTGCAACCTTTAGATTTAGAGTCAGCAGTCTGAACCACTGCACTAAGCATAATTTCATGCTTTTTAGTGGTTACGGAATTAACTATCAAGTTTCAATTTACCCAAAAGAAATAAAACTTTAAAATCTAAAATTCCCACCCTGGATTTGAACCCACAACCTTCAGATTTCAAGTCAGCAATCCATACCATTGGACTTAGCATAATTTCACACTTCTTAGTGGTTACGAAATTAACTATGAAGTTTAAATTTACCCAAATAGAGATAAAAATTTAAAATCTAAAATTCCCCCCCTGGAATTGAACCCGCAACCTTCAGATTTCGAGTCGGTAGTCCATACCATTGGACTAAGTGTAATTTCACAATTTTTAAATGTTACGAAATTAACTATGAAGTTTCAATTTACCCAAAAATGAATAAAATCTAAAATCTAAAATTTCCAACCTGGATTTGAACACGCAACCTTCAGATTTAGAGTCAGCAGTCCATACCATTGGACTAAGCATAAGTTCACACTTTTTGGTGGTTACAAAATTAACTATAAAGTTTACATTTACCCAAAAAGAAATAAATTTTAAATCTAAAATTTCCACCCTGGATTTGAACCCACAACCTTCAGATTGAGAGTCAGCAGTCCATACCATTGGACTAAGCATAAGTTCACACTTTTTAGTGGTTATGAAATTAACTATCAAGTTTAAATTTACCCAAAAAGACATAAAATTTTAAAATCTAAAATTTCCAACCTGGATTTGAACCCACAATCTTCAGATTGAGAGTCAGCAGTCCGTATCATTGGACTAAGCATAATTTCACACTTTTTAGTGGTTACGAAATTAACTATAAAGTTTAAATTTACCCAAAAAGTCATAAAATTTTAAAATCTAAAATTCCCACCCTGGATTTGAACCCACAACCTTCAGATTGAGAGTCAGCCATCCGTACCATTGGACTAAGCATAATTTCACACTTTTTAGTGGTTACGAAATTAACTATCAAGTTTAAATTTACCCCAAAAGACTTAAAATTTTAAAATCTAAAATTTCCAACCTGGATTTGAACCCACAACCTTCAGATTTCAAGTCAGCCGTCCGTACCATTGGACTAAGCATAATTTCACACTTTTTAGTGGTTACGAAATTAACTATCAAGTTTAAATTTACCCAAAAAGACATAAAATTTTAAAATCTAAAATTTCCAACCTGGATTTGAACCCACAACCTTCAGATTTAGGGTCGGCAGTCCATGCCATTGAACTAAGCATAAGTTCACACTTTTTGGTGGTTACAAAATTAACTATCAAGTTTAAATTTACCCAAAAAGAAATATATTTTAAAAGCTAAAATTTCCACCCTGGATTTGAACCCACAACCTTCAGATTGAGAGTCAGCCATCCGTACCATTGGACTAAGCATAAGTTCACACTTTTTAGTGGTTACGGAATTAACAATAAAGTTTAAATTTACCCAAAAAGACATCAATTTAAAAATCTAAAATTTCCACCCTGGATTTGAACCCGCAACTTTCAGATTGAGAGTCAGCAATCCATACCATTGGACTAAGCATAATTTCACACTTTTTAGTGGTTACGAAATTTACTATCAAGTTTAAATTTACCCCACAAGACATAAAATTTTAAAATCTAAAATTCCCACCCTGGATTTGAACCCACAACCTTCAGATTGAGAGTCAGCAGTCCGTACCATTGGACTAAGCATAATTTCACACTTTTTAAAGGTTACAAAATTAACTATAATGTTTTAATTTACCCAAAAAGTAATAAAAATTTAAAATCTAAAATTTCCACCCTGGATTTGAACCCACAACATTCAGATTTCAATTCAGCAGTCCATACCATTGGGCTAAGCATAATTTCACACTTTTTAGTGGTTACGAAATTAACTATGAAGTTTCAATTTACCCAAAAATAAATAAAACCTAAAATCTAAAATTTCCAACCTGGATTTGAACCCGCAACCTTCAGATTGAGAGTCAGCAGTCCGTATCATTGGACTAAGCATAATTTCACACTTTTTAGTGGTTACGAAATTAACTATAAAGTTTAAATTTACCCAAAAAGTCATAAAATTTTAAAATCTAAAATTCCCACCCTGGATTTGAACCCACAACCTTCAGATTGAGAGTCAGCCATCCGTACCATTGGACTAAGCATAATTTCACACTTTTTAGTGGTTACCAAATTAACTATCAAGTTTAAATTTACCCCAAAAGACTTAAAATTTTAAAATCTAAAATTTCCAACCTGGATTTGAACCCACAACCTTCAGATTTCAAGTCAGCCGTCCGTACCATTGGACTAAGCATAAGTTGACACTTTTTAGTGGTTACGGAATTAACAATTAAGTTTAAATTTACCCAAAAAGACATCAATTTAAAAATCTAAAATTTCCACCCTGGATTTGAACCCGCAACTTTCAGATTGAGAGTCAGCAATCCATACCATTGGACTAAGCATAATTTCACACTTTTTAGTGGTTACGAAATTTACTATCAAGTTTAAATTTACCCCACAAGACATAAAATTTTAAAATCTAAAATTCCCACCCTGGATTTGAACCCACAACCTTCAGATTGAGAGTCAGCAGTCCGTACCATTGGACTAAGCATAATTTCACACTTTTTAAAGGTTACAAAATTAACTATAATGTTTTAATTTACCCAAAAAGTAATAAAAATTTAAAATCTAAAATTTCCACCCTGGATTTGAACCCACAACATTCAGATTTCAATTCAGCAGTCCATACCATTGGGCTAAGCATAATTTCACACTTTTTAGTGGTTACGAAATTAACTATGAAGTTTCAATTTACCCAAAAATAAATAAAACCTAAAATCTAAAATTTCCAACCTGGATTTGAACCCGCAACCTTCAGATTGAGAGTCAGCAGTCCGTATCATTGGACTAAGCATAATTTCACACTTTTTAGTGGTTACGAAATTAACTATAAAGTTTAAATTTACCCAAAAAGTCATAAAATTTTAAAATCTAAAATTCCCACCCTGGATTTGAACCCACAACCTTCAGATTGAGAGTCAGCCATCCGTACCATTGGACTAAGCATAATTTCACACTTTTTAGTGGTTACGAAATTAACTATCAAGTTTAAATTTACCCCAAAAGACTTAAAATTTTAAAATCTAAAATTTCCAACCTGGATTTGAACCCACAACCTTCAGATTTCAAGTCAGCCGTCCGTACCATTGGACTAAGCATAATTTCACACTTTTTAGTGGTTACAAAATTAACTATCAAGTTTAAATTTACCCAAATAGAGATAAAAATTTAAAATCTAAAATTCCCCCCCTGGAATTGAACCCGCAACCTTCAGATTTCGAGTCGGTAGTCCATACCATTGGACTAAGTGTAATTTCACAATTTTTAAATGTTACGAAATTAACTATGAAGTTTCAATTTACCCAAAAATGAATAAAATCTAAAATCTAAAATTTCCAACCTGGATTTGAACACGCAACCTTCAGATTTAGAGTCAGCAGTCCATACCATTGGACTAAGCATAAGTTCACACTTTTTAGTGGTTATGAAATTAACTATCAAGTTTAAATTTACCCAAAAAGACATAAAATTTTAAAATCTAAAATTTCCAACCTGGATTTGAACCCACAATCTTCAGATTGAGAGTCAGCAGTCCGTATCATTGGACTAAGCATAATTTCACACTTTTTAGTGGTTACGAAATTAACTATAAAGTTTAAATTTACCCAAAAAGTCATAAAATTTTAAAATCTAAAATTCCCACCCTGGATTTGAACCCACAACCTTCAGATTGAGAGTCAGCCATCCGTACCATTGGACTAAGCATAATTTCACACTTTTTAGTGGTTACGAAATTAACTATCAAGTTTAAATTTACCCCAAAAGACTTAAAATTTTAAAATCTAAAATTTCCAACCTGGATTTGAACCCACAACCTTCAGATTTCAAGTCAGCCGTCCGTACCATTGGACTAAGCATAATTTCACACTTTTTAGTGGTTACGAAATTAACTATCAAGTTTAAATTTACCCAAAAAGACATAAAATTTTAAAATCTAAAATTTCCAACCTGGATTTGAACCCACAACCTTCAGATTTAGGGTCGGCAGTCCATGCCATTGAACTAAGCATAAGTTCACACTTTTTGGTGGTTACAAAATTAACTATCAAGTTTAAATTTACCCAAAAAGAAATATATTTTAAAAGCTAAAATTTCCACCCTGGATTTGAACCCACAACCTTCAGATTGAGAGTCAGCCATCCGTACCATTGGACTAAGCATAAGTTCACACTTTTTAGTGGTTACGGAATTAACAATAAAGTTTA